CGGAAGAAGTTTGAGTTTCTGTGTGTCTCCTGATTCGTTGCAACCCAATTTTGCTCGGCTGCGATATCTTCGATCCAGTTTTGTTTGCTTGCACGGCTGCTGGTTTCTGCTGCTTCAGAAGCGCTCCCGGAAGAGGTCCCAGCTTTTGTTTGAGGAGCGGCGATTGCTCTGAACTTTGCAGCATTTTAAACCTGGTCCGATGGCTTCACACTGTGAAGTCGCTTGATAAAGAAGCCTGTGGCATATTGCTCGGCTTCTCGAATGCAATTAATTGTGGTCACGTGATTGTCCACACCTTTCTTCCTTCTTTCACGATAGCTAATGTCTTCCGCCGTGTATTAAACGTGTCATCCTTTTACATGTTGTAGTGCATTGGTGCCACTGTGTCTACTTGACGGTATTTCTTCTGGAGTTTTCAATTTACAGAACGGATAGATTTGTGGAGTAGGAAGGTTTTCTTTTCTTTTGCTTCTTTGGTTTTTTTCTTCTCCTCCACTCTTCACAGTAGGAAAAAATAGCAGTATCATTTCAATCTGATCGTTGAAATCCCCTTATTTCCTAGTTGATGGCAATGATTTCTTGATATCGCATGAAAAGGACATTTGATGCACCCGTACACCAGGAACTTTTGGTGATGAGATGGGCCCTCAAAAAAAATGCGTGTGAGATATTGAATCAGGTTTCATTCTCTCATTTACAGATGGCCAGGGTCCAGAAAAAAACAACGGAGTCCACTAGGCGACATGCATTCAGCTCTTTCAAGGAAAGGGTGGACTCCATAAAGATTGAGCCTAGTCGGAAACTCAACATTAGAGCACACGATTATGTGGAAACTTCCCATTTCTTGGTCACGTTAGAACATTGGAAGGAAGTCAATCTCAGTGGCAATTTCTCTGAATTTGTTCAGGAGGTGGAGCCTTGGTGCCAAACATTGCCTCAAATCTTGCATCATCAATCAAACATCTATGAAGCTTTACATCAACACATTGAAAAAAATGACATACATTCTATGCAACCATTGCTCGAACTTATGTCTCAATTCATTCACGATTTGGGTCCAGATTTTATGCCCTTCTATATAAGATACCTAAACCTCATCGTTAAACTTGCCCAAGAAACAAATCCCAATGACTCCCAGAATATGAAGAATACTTCCAATGTGTTGGAATGGTGTTTCAACTCTTTGGCATTTGCATTTAAGTATTTATCCAGATCATTGGTCAAGGACCTTATCCCCACTTTGACAGAGCTAATTCCGGTCTTACTGATGACCAAGAAGACATACGTATCGCGGTTCTGCGGTGAGGCGTTATCGTTTTTGGTCAAGAAACAGAAAGTCGAGGATTTAAAAATGACAGTTCAATTCGCATTCACTTCCCAAGCTCATCTTCTTGAAGAAAATTCGTTCTATAGGAGCTCTTTGGTTGTTCTTTTCAGTGAATCCATGAAAAATACGAAAGACACTTTCCATTCTAAAGCAACGCTCATTCTTTCCGTTTTAGTGGAAAATGCGCTTGAGTTCAGCCAACAAAGCGAAGCCTTCGTTTCTATTATTTGTGATATTTTATTGGAAGTCTTACATCATGGAAATGAGTCGGAATGTGCTAGATTTTACCTGAATATTATCGACTACCTTGCCAAAATAGTCCAGTCTTCCGAAAACGGAAAAATTCTTGTTTTCGCTCCTCAAATTCTCATTGCATTGTGCTTCGCAGACTCAGGTAGGAAGGTTTCATCGTGGCCTGACGTTTTCGGTTTAGTGAAGATTTTCATTCAGGAGGTAGAGACAAAACTGCTGGATGATGAAATTCTCCATTTATCAGTTATCACTGCATTGATCCATTTATTTGCCATAATTATAAGAAATTGTGACCTTCAAGAGCTTACCAAGTATTTTGAAACACTCAAAAATGCTTTATTGGACATCGACGGTGGTAAATACTTCTTAAGTTTTATTGAGTCGTCGATGATAATGGCTCCCGAGAAAATGTCGGCATTCAATGTTAACAAACTCGTTCAGTCTTATGCCAATAAAATTACTTCAGAAGATGATCTTATGAGATTGTCTTTGGCGCAAATGAAATTGACTAAAGAGCATAGTGAAATGAAGCAGAATTTATCGATGCCTTCATCCATAAAACAATCTGTCATTAAGCTGTTTAAAAATGATTTAAAGCACTTGGAAGATGAAACTTTATTAAACTTGTACTGGAAATGCCAAATCATGCAATACATGTGCGATTTCAAAGAAGTCGATGGCGAGGTTTTTCTCAAAGCTTTGCGAGCCATCACATCTGCGAAACTTGGAAACTCCAAATTTCTGCATGATATCATTGGAATGTTATTAAGGGCTATCATTCAGGCAACGAATGGCGATTCCGCTCTTGTAAATGACACTTTGGGAATTCGCTATCGAAAAATTGTCTGACCCTAAAAGAATCTCAAGGTATTTTGTTGATGCTTTGAATGAATTCTTGAAAGCATTTTGGCGCAAAGGTGCAAAGCAAAACTTGAATCATGCTCCACCATCAATTTAGCGCAATCGACTCCTGAAAATTTCATAAT